AAGCACTGGACTGCTAACTGCAATATCAATGTTTCAAACCCTCCTTGAAAACCCTGTACAGGGATGCTATAAGTTGGAACTAACTCTACGGCACTTAAACACAACAATTTCTTTTTATGTAATATATCAAGAAAATTCTTCATGGCTATCTTATGACAAATAAGTGTTCTTTATTTGTCAGAGCTAGATTAATTCACAGTTGTATTAGGTCTGCTCTTAAAATGCCTAAGATTAAAAGCTGAAAAAAACATTTTTTTTTAACTTTTGATACATGTTTTTTTTTTAAATAAACTAAATAAAGAATGGATAAAAATTTTTAAATTATATCATGAATTGAAAATGATGTACTTAAACCACCCAAATATACTTGAACATTTTATGTCTATACATCGTCATGGTGGTGCTTTTAAGCTGTGGAGTCTGTATAGGGCTTTACAACCACAGAAACCCTGTATAGGAGCAGCTGGTAGATTTGTATATCTATATTGTTGTTATTGTTAAGTACCGTGGAGTCGGTTCTGACTCATAGTGTGACCCTGCACAGGGTTTCTGAGGCTGTAAATCTTTATGGGAGCAGAAAGCTTCATATTTCTTCCACAGGACAGCTGGTAGTTTCCATATAAGCATAAATTTAGAAAATAATGTATTTTTATTGTTTAGGTGAACCTGTTCATTTTAGGTGTTTCTCATCAAAGACAATCTGCAAAGCTTTCTCATGAGACAACTTAGTGCTTCTTACAGCCCGTCTCCCTCACCCCCACACACATACACATACTGAACTGCAAAGGCTATTTTTTAAAAACTGTATCATACAAGGCATCATTGTAGTAAGGAAACTTTGTTTCACATAACAGAGATTAACCAGTTTATTAGAGCTTCGTTCAGATCTCTGGAGCTATTTTCAGGATAAAACAGTAAGGATATTCAGCACACATTCTTCTGAGAAAGTAATAGAAATTGTAGGAATTCTGTGAGAAATTTAGTTCAACTTGGGAAAGTTTTTAAGTTAACAAGTTAGTGTGCTTAAAAGAATTCATCGTGTTGACTGAGTGTCCATTACTTTCTAGGCACTGTCCTCTGAGAGCAATAAATATTTATACTGAAAGCATCAATTTATTCAGCAAAACATGTAAAGCTAGATCATACACAAGTACATTTAGCTTACACAGAGTCAGCTATATGCACTCAGAAACAAAGGACGAGGCGGTTTATTCAGTGGTTGTCTTAAGTGATCTCTGAGCAGTTTTGCCTACTAGTCAACCACTGGGTTGCCTTGGTTGGGTGATCATGAGCTGAGTGATATGAATTTGCTGCTGTTTGGTTCCCTGGCAGCTCTAAGAGTGTGAACATGTAGCCACAAGCTTTTTTTGTGCAGGGCCCTTAACACAGACTACTTCACTGTGGCTCAGAGAAACAGTAGCGTGTTTCCAATTTGGAGGGAAAAACTAGCTGTGTTGCTCTTGGAGAAGGCATTCGACTTTTCCTAAGGAGTTCAAAGGATCATTTTGTCTGTCTGTACTTTAGGATGGTAACTCTGGAACATAACTTTTACCTGAGTTAGATAATCTCTCAGTTTTGATACCCTTCTCTTTTGTTAGACAAGAAATCAAGGGGGCTAAACCAACCAAGTAACAGTCTTGTAAGGGACCTGACAATTCACTAAAAGTCCCTGGAAGATAGATTATCTGAATTATTACAAAGCTTAGTTCTCTCTGCAAAGAATCAAAGTGTCACTTCAATCTGTCCTTTCTAACTTGACAAAAACATATGCAGTAAAAGGATAATCCCATACAGATATTACATTTGCTATAAATGGCAGAGATCTTAGCAGAGCCATCTTTTACGTGGGAAATAGGAGTTAGATGTAGTATAAAAATGTAGACCATTTTGCTTTAAATGTAACTTCCTCATATCAAAAGCATACAATTTCATTTGGAATTGCCAGTGTCAATGAAAGGGCTCTTTTATTTAAGTTAGAATGCAAAATCATGGTCAAGGATTTAAACTTCATGCCAGAGACTTTGGAGAAGCTGCCTAACTTTAATGTTTTTCTACCTAAACATCAAGAAAATCATTCGTCACTAGAAAACAGTCCTAGCACATAACGTAGCCGTTTTCTTGTGTGGTTGACACTCAGATTTTAATGACAAGGCACGTAAATAGGCTCTGTGTAAAAAAAAAAAATCAGGTCATAGTTCGCCTTCTGAAAAAAAGTATTAATGATACTTATAATGTTGTTGGTTGATGAGTACCGTGGAATTGGTTTGGACTCATAGAGACCCTGCACAGGGTTTCTAAGGCTACAAATCTTTACAGGAGCAGAAAGCCTCATTTTTCTCCCATGGAACAGCTGGTAGTTTTGAACTGCCGACCTTGAGGTTAGTAGCCCGATTCATAACCACTAATCGTAACGGAGCTCCTTATCATAGTCATTGAAAATGAAGTATTGATTAGAAAAAGTAGAAACACCACAAAACACGTCTATGACTTCTCTGAAACCAGTTTAATAGATGCTGTCTGTGTTTGGGAGCAACCAGTTTTTATCCTGCTTTTCTGCATTTTGTCACCTGTGCTGGTGAGTGACCAAGAAAGCCAGTGCCATTTGAAACTGAAAATAAAGGACACACACAGAGACGAAAAGGCAGTGCCTAGCTAGTTCAGAGTTGCTTCAGGCTTTGCATTTCCTCCCCCAATCTTTAAAAAAAAAAACTTTCCTAAAATGTGATGTTCATTTGCTAGGATTCTGATACATAGTGTAAATTGGGATAATATTTTACATTAGTTTATTGTTATTATTTTCGTGAGCCTTAACCACAAAACCTAGACTTAGACTGTAAATCAGATCTTTTCTTGGGAAGATGTGTGTGTGTGTATGTGTGTGTGTTTAGTACCATTGTGTCATTTCCGACTCATAGTGACCCTGTATAGGGTTTCCAAGGAGCGGCTGGTGAGTTTGAACCAGCAACCTTGTGATTCAAACCAACGTTGCAGTCCAGTGTTTATCCTACAGCACCACACCAGGACTCCTGGGAAGATACTGTACTCATGATTAATTAAATGAGCGTAAAATAAAGAGGAATAGATGATGATGCATCACAATGCTGGAAGAGGGCTTTCTTTCTGATTGAGCTATTTCTTCTTTTACAGGCGAGGGAATTAAGAACAAGAGATTAAATTACTTGTTCTTTGTCAATTTAATTTTTAGAAAGATGATCGATGAACTGTTAGGCTGGAAGGTATCAATCTGCATCTTTCATGTGCCTGTGGTGCTCTCTATTAGTTCGGTCTGTTAGTGCAAATGTGCCTGTCGTATCACACCATCTGTTTGGAGTGGGACTGGATAAACTCTTCTGTTTGTTAACTACAGCCTGGCAGTGAGCTGGACAACTTGGAGGAAATTTTGGATGATTTGCAGAATAGTCAGTTACCACAGCTTTTCCCAGATACGAGGCCAGGCGCCCCTGCTGGATCAGTTGACAAGCAAGCCATCATCAATGACCTCATGCAACTTACAGCAGAAAACAGCCCTGTTACACCTGTTGGAGCCCAGAAAACAGCACTGCGAATTTCACAGAGCAGTAAGTATGAGGTGTTGGTAGTTACACCAAAAAATTACATATAATTGTTACCAGAAACGGATTAATAGGGTCTAATACAAACAGCTTAGTCACTTCAAGGTTTCTGTGATCAAATAGCACCATCTACTGGCCTTTGAAGCCATATTTCATAACAGAGTCTAGTTAGTGTGTTTCTGCCATTCTCCTTTGGATAATTTAATCAACAGGAAAGGAGCCTGGCCTACATTGATAGCCTTCTTAAATGATTGTCATATTTCCCTTCTTTCAGTGACTGCCCTCAGAAATGGAGTTTAAAATAGATATGTATTTTCATATATAATTGAATACTTTAAAAATAGAAAATTGAGGAGTTATGTAGACTTTTTACCATAACATATTATTTTTTAAAGATTCTTTTTTAAACATTTGAACATACTACACATTAAAAATATCTTTCCCTATTTCGTAGGAATCCTCATGTAAGCATCAGTTTCACATGAAACTTTATCATGTAAATGTTTTCTAAGTGAATTTTTAGCTGTTCAATTTTATATAAAGCCTAAAGACCTTACACCATCTATAATTAAGCAAATGTGCTGTCATTTCATTTACTAACTTGATTGTACCTGAAAGTCGTCCAGTAGTTTGAATGGAAGAAAATACATTTTTTGTCCATAATTTATAGAAAGATAAATATCCTCTTCAGTGTTAATGGACACAGCATAATTGTTCCCTCTTTAAATCAGTTTGACCCAGTGCCTAACATTCGTTCTCAAACCAGAAATGGCAAGTGTCTGACAAGTCATGGGGCATCTTTTTTACCCCTCTCTTCTCAATCCCTAGCCATTTGTAAAAGGATAAAATTAAATAAAGGTAAATTTCTGCATCTTATTTCTCATCCCTGTCTTCTTTCTTGGGGAGTCTAAGGCTAATTGGAGACCACAAAGAGTTGAGAAATGGGTAAGAAACACACTAGGTAGCTTATTCTTACCAACCCATGAGATCATGAAGGCCAGCCAGCTTGGGGAGCTCAGTGGGTTTTTGACACCTCTGTATCTTTTCATGGTGTACAGATTATTGAGTGCTAGCCAGGTAACTAAACCTGGGAAAGCCATGATTAATCATGGACATAATTTCTATTCCAAGCCTGACTTTTTCTAAATAATTCTGCTAGGGATTATTAAGAACTTTTTCTTTTAAATGTGTGCTATTTCAGACCATTTATATATTCCAGAGAAAATAAAATACTTGGTATGTAATTAGTGATGGTGGTAGGTAGTGTGCTGTGGAGCCGGCTCTGACTCATAGTGCCGCTGTAGAGGATCTTCGAGGCTGTAGGTCTTTATACGAGCAGAGAGCCTCATCTTTTCCATGCAGAGCAGCTAGTGGATTCAAACTGCTGACTTTGTAGTTAGCAGCCCAACCCGTAATGCACTACACTAATCGGGCTCCTTTATAGGTTCGCTCCAAATTGATCATATTTTTGTATTTTTCTGTCTAATAGCATTGTTATCAGATTGCTAGTTGTCTCTGCAGTAGTAAAGAGTGCTCATGTAGTGCTGGTCATTTTTGTTAAATGCTGTCAAGTCGGTTCTGACTCATAGTGACCCTATATTGGGTTTTCAAAGATCAGCTGGTGGTTTTGAGCTGACAACCTTGCAGTTAGCAGTCCAGTGCTTATCCTACAGTTCCACACCACGACTCATGTAGTGCTTAGTACACCAGAAATTCTTGTTAACTGACCATAAAAAAATACTTTAAAATTTAAATGTTTCTAGAATTTATTGAAACTATGCCTAGAAATCCTGACGTGGCACTGTAGGATAAACAGTAGACTGCTAACTGAAAGGTCAGAGATTCGAACCTATACTGGCAGAACCGACTGACTGGCACTTAACAGGGCCCTAAAGCTTTAAGTTAATAGAGTTCAAGTAGACTTTACACTTGAAGGTCTTACTCTCAGTGAAAGTAACCGCCTTTAACTACGGACAGTGTCCAGTGAAGACATTCTATCCAACCACATATGCATGAGCTTGGTGTTTATGTAAGAGACGCTTATAGTTTCATAGCTATGAGAAAGTAAAACTCTTACTTGCGCATAATGTGTCTTGAAATAAACCGTATTAATGATTTACTTAGCAAATACAGTTGCATGTTAGAAATTAGTGTTGGGGAGAAAAGTATGTGATCAGTATGTAATATCTATATGGTTTCTTTTTTTTTTTTTTCCAAAAAAAATTTAATCAAAAATTACATTAAAGAGGTATTGATTAGATTACAAGCCTACTTTTTAGCACTGAGTATGTTTTTGTTTGTGGATTTGACTTTCATGTAGGCAATGGGCACCTGTCAAGCATATTGTTGTTCTTCGATAGAAAACATTTTCCCTGAACACTACTACTGTTGCTGTTCTTTTCCATTATCTTATATTAACCTCCGCTTTTCATTTGTTTTCTCCTTAGCTTTTAATAACCCACGACCAGGGCAACTGGGCAGGTTATTGCCAAACCAGACTTTACCACTTGACATCACATTGCAAAGCCCAACTGGTGCTGGACCATTCCCACCAATCAGAAACAGTAGTCCATACTCAGTGATACCTCAGCCAGGAATGATGGGTAATCAAGGGATGATAGGAAACCAAGGAAATTTAGGGAACAGTAGCACAGGTAAGGGCTGAAATGCGCTGCTCCTTTATTGGTTGGTTATTTGACTTATGACAATGATGCGTTCATTCACATCAAGCTAGGAGAATTGTTCAAGTGATTTCTTAAGACAATTCTGTTGACTACTTTTCACAGACAGTGGCATATGAAGTATCGGTAAACATTCCTGCAAGGCTGAGCATTTTATTCTGTAATTACTACTTCCGAAAGGTTTCTAATCCTTAATCTTACAGCCCAGGCTGAATCATTTTGTTTTTATCCCAGTTGTTTTTCTAGAAGTTATAGAGATATGTGTAAAATAAATTGCTAGTTTCCAAACGTTCTATTAGTTGATGATTTGTATTGAAAGAATTTCAAAGTGAAAGTTGGAAATTTAACCAGCCTTCAACACCTTTGACTTTGTAATTCTCATTAAAAAAAAAAAAATTAAGTGAAAATTGTTGTTGTTGTTGTTGTTAAGTGCCATCGAGTCGGGTCCGACCCATAGCGACCCTGTACAGGGTTTCCAAGGGTGTAAATCTTTACGGGAGTAGAAAGCCTCATCTTTCTCCCGCGGAGAGACTGGTAGTTTCGAACCGCTGACCTTAAAGTTCGCAGCCCGATTCGTAACCACTACACAACTTTAAATAGTAACATGCCTAGCCTACTAGTAACTTTTAGATCTGGTCCAGGGCTCTGCTTTAGAAGATTTAGAGTTGCCTGTGATCTGGTTTGCACCTTGACCTGTTATCATTTAAGATTTCTGCAAAGTTGTCCAGACTCATTTCCTAAGTTTAACCCCTGTGATAGCAGCAAACATATCCCTAAACTTTGATCCAATTCCATCTAGAAATCATTGCAACATTATTACTCCTGTGTCCTGTCTGTACCCTAAAAACATCTATTTCATATAGATGTGGCAGTATGCTGAGTTTTCTAATAAAGAGCTGCTTGCAATTTACAGCTTCCTTCATTTTTCTAAATGAGATAGATACAGAAGACAAAGTCATAGAAAGAAATACATATTATAAAAAGAGCTCAGGTTTGTGGGTGTTTTCATTCTTGGTATTGTTTTAGCTTAATCTGATCAGCTTAAAGATCACTAATGTCTAGACTGTGAAAATCATGCAACCCTTATGCTCCACTCATGGAAAAAAAGAGTTAAAGGGAATACCCACTGTAATGGCATTAATACTGCTGACTTATGAGTGACTTCCTGTCTACTTTCTAGACTCTCCATAGTCTTGTTACATTCTTGAGATAATAGATTTTTTGAAAAAATTAATCCTTCTCCCATAATAACTTTATGTGGTTCAAATCTAACCTTAAAATGGTTTTTAAAGATATGTAACCATGCCCTAACTTTTTCAGTTGAATTAATTACCCTTCATCATTCTAATATATTTTCATTTCACAAGAACACCCAGAACGCATCTTCTCTCCATTTGTTGCGCATACCCTATTTGTAGTTGCTTATCATAATTAAAGGAAACCATGTATTTGAAGTCAGAGCCCATCATTAAACACTTCAAAATGAAGTGGCTTCTTTTGGGGTTTTCCCCCTTTAGAATATCAAGTCTTAGCAAATGTTGGACTATTACCAGCATCCCAATGAAGGCTGGGCTAGATAAACTCATGATCCTGCTTGGCAGTGCTGTGTTCTTAGTGTTCTGTGTGGTCCTATGATTGCTAATAACTTACTTATCAAAGGATTTTTACAGCTCTGTCCTAACTCATTCTGGATCAATATGTTGTTGTTGTTGTGATGTGCCGTGGAGTCGGTTCTGACTCATAGCGGCCCTGTACAGGGTTTCTGAGGCTGTAAATCTTTATGGGAGCAGAAAGCCTCATCTTTCTCCCGTGCAACAGCTGGTAGTTTCGAACTGCTGACTGTGAGGTTCACAACTTGATTTGTAACTACTATGCTACCAGAGCTCCTTCTGGATCAATATAATATATCACAAATGAAGTGGCCCAAGTATATTAAAGAAGTAGGATTTCCCTTGTCTTGGTTTTAAAGAACTTTAGACACCCAAAAGATCCTGTAATTTCCCCAGATTTTAGAGTGCTAGCTTGGTCCATTTTGAAGTTTAACAAATTTTCATACTCTGGAGGGGGTTCTAGGATTGAAAAGTATGTTCTCTGTTTTCTTGGCTTAGAGTATTGATTATCAGTTTTTACCTTGTTACTCTTAGCCTTACCTCCCCTTTGGAAAGTAAAGCATTGACGTGTGTATCAGCTAATGTGATTCACTTCCTGAGGAAGGAAGTTGGGGTTATCCACACGCCACAGCGCCTATTTCTAACTACACATGGGAACAATTTTAACAGCTTTTCCGAACTATAAAGAGTGGCAAGTCCATGTTGTAAAAGAAATTGTAGTAATTGCTTACTCTTATTTTGTAGCCCAGGGCCCACATCTGCCCAGATGAGGGGGTTGGCTTTTGCACTAACTGTATTGCTGAGCGGTTGTCTTGTAAGGAGCATGCTCATCTGGTGCTCCTACATGCTGAATATGTTTTCAGTTCCTGCCCTGCTCAGTTTTCTTTGGCTTGCATGCAGGCATGATTGGTAGTAATCCTTCCCGGCCCACCATGCCATCTGGAGAATGGGCACCACAGAGTTCTGCTGTGAGAGTCACCTGTGCTGCCACCACCGGTGCCATGAATCGGCCAATCCAAGGAAGTATGATTCGGAACCCAGCAGCCAGCAGCATCCCCATGAGACCTAACAGCCAGCCTGGCCAAAGACAGATGCTTCAGTCTCACGTCATGAGTATAGGTAAGGGAGTCACACGGCTTCTTGTGCTTCTCGTCTTCCTCATTTCTGAGAAGGGAGTAACAGCACCTTAAGTTCTTTCAAAACTTGGTCTTAATTTGCAGTTTAGGTGATCCCCTCATGCTACGCTGTGGGATTTTGGAACTCTGTGTAAAATCATGGGGTCCTGGTGTGGCACTGTAGGATGGGCACTGAACTGCCAACTGCAAGGTCGGCAATTCAGACCCACCAGCCACTCCTTGAACACTCTATATAGGGTTGCTATGAGTCAAAACTGACTTGATGGCACTTAACAGCAACAACATATAAAATCTCTCAAAATACATAAGAGAACCAACTACCTTCCTTTATGATGTTTTATTTTCATTAAATTACCAAATTCTACCTTTTGGGAATAGTGATTTGAAGTTTCATACTAGAAAGGTTATACAATATATTTAAAATACAGAAACAGTTACATGATACAGCAGTGCTTTGTCAATCTGGGTGATCAGCAGAATCATCTGAGGCATTTAAAAATGAAGATTCCAGCTTCACCATCCTTCACTATTGAATTAGACTCTCCCAGGTCTTCACTAAAGCCTCTGAAGACATATCCCAAAATGTGATGATCACTAGAATTCTATTTAGATACAATTCACACATTATTCGAATTGTTTGATGTATGATTTCATTTATATGAGATGTCCAAAATAGGCAAATCTGTATAGACAAAGGTGGTTGCCTAGGCCTGGGGAGATGAGGAGTGACTCTTTAATGGGTATGGAATTTCTTTGCGGAGGGTTAATCAAAATTGATTCTAAAACAGATTTGTAGTGATGGTGATTCAATTTCAAATATACCAAAAACAAATGAATCATACACTTTAGATGGATGAATTGTATGTACATGAATTATATCTCAATAAAGCTTTTATATTAAAAAAATTAATGGTCTGTGCAATTAACTCATACTTGAAATTGTTTTCTTAATAATTGATATATTAACCTTCCTCTTATCTTGTCCATTAGCCTAATTCAGATACGTTAATATTTATATCATTTTTCATGTACTTAGGTACTACACACTGAGTAAGTGCTAGCTCACAGAGAGATGTTAAGATTGTCTTCACAGTATAATCCAGAATTCTCATCCTAACCCTGGCATCTGCTTATTTAATTGCTTAGCACCGTTTGACTTAATTGTTTCTGAGATGACATTCATATTTTCTTTCTACATTGAATGTACTTTGAATTAGTGAGATGTTTCCAAACATAAGCTCATGTCATTTGTATGCTGCATGAAAAATGCTAAAATCACCAGATTTCTGTGTAAAATTAATCAGACATTTATCTTCAGTTTTCATCAGTGAAGCACCTCTAACTTGTCAGCTCAAAAGATGGCTTTATCATGTAACTAGGTTTCTCTGGTTTTTAGTAAAACTCCAAAAAGCTTGAACTCAGCAGAAAATATTGTAATGTAAGGTAAGTATAAATGAGGAGTTCATAACACAGTTCCTGACATCCATTAGCTTTAAACCTCTAAGAAGAACTTGTCAGAAAGAGCATGTGTGAGTTCTCTGGGCTTCCTGTCTGCTCTGCCCTTACTCTGGTGGAGGAATTAGCATCAAGTGTGGTTAGAATTTAGGTAAGGGTTAGGACCGGCACTTTATGGAAGTGTGATCCAAGAGCCCAAGATCCTTTCAGAGAAACTACAAACCATGTTTGTAGTGTAATGCTTGGACATTTTAGCCTTTTTTACTCTCATTCGCTCACAAGTGCATAGTAGAGTCTTCGGTAAGTTATTTGTTACGCAATGTCACAATAGATTTTACACACAAGTGGAAACTATATTCTGGCTCTATTCTATTAAATTCAGACATTAACGTGATTTGCAAACGTGAAAAACAATTTAACTCTTCTTACTAAA